TTGACTGAGAATGGTGCTACTATGTTTCGTCTTGGATCTGAGGAATATCTCTCCTTCTCTGATCGGAGATCTCAAGCAGGTACCTCTCTCTCTATTTTCAATTCTCAGTGGAATTTTTGTTCGTAGATCGCTCAAATCTATCTGTTGATCGAATTTGATTGTCGTCTTCGTTTATGAATCTCGAAATTGATTGTTGCTTCGAATTTATTATCCGATTCTGAGGCTGGGAATTTGATTGTTGATGCGAATTTTTGTAGTCGTTTCTGAAACTCGCCAATTTACACACCATTTCGTCTCCGGTAGATTCTCTCACTGATCGGATCGGTTTGTGTTATATACTCAAGGATCGGATTTCTGGAAACGATCAGGTATTATTCTCGTCGTCGATTCTTCGTTTCCTTCAACTTTCAGTGATTGTGTGTGGTTTTTTCACGTTTTGGTATACGAATCTAGCAGTTAAAGTTTGCGTACACTCCCAATGGAAACTTCAGTCTTCGAGATTTTCATCACGCTGTTAACAGTTTGCCTTTGGATGCGTTTATACCAGAGATCGATGAATCGGGAGCCATATCTTGCAGAGGTCTCTCTAATTCTCTCTTTATCTATCTATTAGTTTCTTGATTAATTTCCTGCACATTAATTATAGTGAATTGTTCATAGATCTTAAGCTGTCACGTGTTCTGTGTGATCGAGCTTTGTACTCATGGGGAAGTAGAGATATCATGAGGAAAGTTATTGTGCTGAGTTCATGTTTTCCCGAAGATATGGATTTTGAAGCGAGAAACACTCTTATGGTCAGTCACATGTGTCGAATACTATATACTTTGCTAGTGCTTTAACTTGTTTTCTCAGTATTAAGTCTTTTTTTTGCTTCAGGCTGCAGCAGATAAATGTGTATCGGTTGAGTTTCTTTTGCTTGAGAAGAACACTAGCCACCTGAGGTACACGCAGGACAAGATTAATAGATTCCTCAGATGCCTATCCGATCTTGACAATTGTTCATTTCAAACATGCATCCCCGGTAGGTTCCAAGTAACTAAATTTCTCTTTTGGTGGCTGGTTCTTTAAAGTTGTTTTTCCGTACTCCTTATAAGATTTCCAGACTAGTTTAATTGTTTGAATTTGTTATCGGTAAAGAGGTTTTAAATCTTGCAAGAGGCAACACAAGATTAGTGCTGAAACATTTCCGGATAGGATACTGATCCATTCGAATGTATTCAGATGGAAAATCACTTCATGGACTTGAAAAGAGATGGCTTCAGGATCTAAAGGATGAAACTGGAGAATCACTGCAGGCCCAGTTTATGTTCAAAAGTAACCTTTTTGGCTCAGTGAACAAGATCATCTGCAATTTCACTGCAGCTGCAAATCGGATTGTCGACGGATTTATCCCTTGTCAAGTACTGAGCCACACCCCTAGACTTGAATCTTTTATCTTCCAATAAGCTTACACTTAAGCATCGTTAGGCCGATATTGGATACTGTCATATTGCAGATTTCATAAGTCACTTTAGCTAATGCTTTGCTCACTACAGATTTTCATTGTCTCTATTGCTGCTTACAGACATGCAGGTGCCACGGCATAGAGTTACGAAATCCAGCAGAAAGCACAACGGAGAAGCTGCAATGCTCTGTTACCAATCATGATCTTGGAAAGTATGATGTGATTGAAAATTCTGTGAAAGTTGGTGAGAGAACTCTTCTGTTTTTGCCTTCAATCCAGAGCCTACAGAAACTTCATACAATTTCTTCCCAAGTTGATTTCACTGTCATAGAGAGGACTAATCTAACTTCTCTCAATGAAGGTAACACTTTTAGCTACACGAAGTGATATTCTTTCCAGTGCGCTCTCTTCTTTTGACTTTGTTTCTTTCCTCCAAAGTAGAGAACTTGATTCAAGTATACTTTGCATAGGCCTAACACTTGGGACGCCTTACATTGTAAGCCCTTCGACTTGTCATGAAACGGAACCTTGTTCAGAAGAAATGGATCAACCAGATCTGAACACTCAGAGTAAGCACAGTATTTCCCTAAAGGAACCGCCACTGCTGTAGCGTCTCATAGTTTTCCTAAGCAGCTAGAAATGCAGTTTTTCAGGGTCTATGTGGTGCACTATATACAATGGACCAAGGCTTAATTTGCTCTTCAAACTGTAATCTAGACATCATGAAAGTCGTGGAATTTCATTGTTATTACATTCTTCAACCGTCAGAGAATGGTCTGATGCTTCTGAGGGTAAAACTTCATTACTCTGGCTCTCTTCCTTGATAGAATATCAGCAGTTTTCTGAATATTATTATTCTCCCTGAGAATGATAAATCTGTCTTTATGTCTTGGATTTGTGCAGTTTCTTAGTTTAACACACAAAACTGTTTGCAGAGATTGGCAGGGTCAGAGGAATTCCTGCCTATTTCTAGTGTCAGTCAGTTTGCAGAGTCCTCTATTCCTAGAGAAATCGAGATTTCTGTCAAAGGCGCTTTGTTAGAGGTCGATTTCATTTCCAGTTTGTTGATATTTTTATATATAGTATTTGCTATTTAGTCTTCTAACTTTTCTTTCTTTCTGCATATTAAGCAGATTGAGTCAACAGACTACAATCCTCTGAACCACAACAGAGGCTTCCACCAAAAACTGAACCTCATCGTGAAAGAAAGTCTTCAATTTGGGTGACTACTTTCCTCCTTTATTCTCTTCTTCATTAGCGGCATCCCTGAAAATCTGCTACAAGTCTCTAACTTATTCTTGTGGCAGTTCACTAGATTCAAATACGGTAGACGCAACATGTGAAGTGAGCTCAGTGGTTTCAGATTCTGTAATTCCAACGAAACCGACATTTCCAATCATAGTACCTCCATCCGTAGAAGAAGTAACACATCAGGTAATCCAGATAACTGATGAAGAAGAGAAAGCAACAGCTTCAATTACTAAAGAATGGGAACAACTAATAGTCACTGAGGTTCATACGAAGTCTTCTTCTCCGGTTGTAACTACACCCAAACCAGAAATAGACCGCCAATTTCTGTCGCCTAACAATAAGAAGGCCGATATAAAAACGTCGATAATATTGGAAAGACTTGAAGCTCCGAGGAAGATGAGAGGAAAAGTTGGATCATCACCAAACGTAGCCATATATAGTCAAACCTCACCAGATATGTCTCAGAAGAAGCCTCTGATTCCTTTTCAGACAAGTCAGGCTTCTAATTACCAAACTGTTTCATCAAGCCAGCTTATGAAACCCAGCTTTCAGAGACTGAAAAGAAAGCATAAGTGAGGTTTGAGGGTAAGTACTCTTCCTTTGCTTTTCTTGAGAATGGTGAGAATGTAGCAGAAAAATCTAAAGACATTTTGTTTTTGAGCTTTGACAGGGGTATAGGAAAAGAGGAATTACATGTCAATATCGCATTCGGGGGGATACTTGAAGTTCAAAGGAAAGGTAACGTTCTGTATTTGCGTAGAAAGAGATAAAAATGATATAATGTTTGTTAATTAGCTGCCTTTTTTTATTTGTCTGTCCAATAATCAAAAACTATACAAAATCATATTATATGTACAACTTCTATTCACAACCAATAACTCAATAATCTTTTTAAAGGCTCTTAAGAGCCTTCTAACTAATATATATATACACATCTCCAAACGTATTTTTAGAAATTCTCCTTATGGAAACTGAACTTGGTGGAAGTTTTATGAGTGAAATCCTGTGCCCAGTGTCGTAGCTCTTTCACTAATCCAGCTGTTCCGCAATAAAACACTCCTGCAAATTTTATCAAACATTCACATTTTATCAAACAGTTCCTACATGTAGAAGCACTAAGAGTAGAGATAGGTGAGAGTAGTTATTTGTTAGTAGTAGTAACTCACCGACTCTAGTCTTGGGATGCTTCACAGCGATCATTTTGTAAACGCTTCTCCAGTTTGGCCTAGCGAAATGGGACATGACGCGTGTCCCTGACACAACGTCCACTCCGTTCTTGGCGTGGTTGAGTGACTGGAGCATCGCAATCAGTGCAGACCTCGCGTCTCCTTCCTCATAGACGCTGGTGCAGTAATTATGCAGCTCGATTACATTGTTTCGGTCAGTTTCGCTCACTTCGTCCATCACGTTCTTGAACCAGTCAAAAGAACCTTGCTCTCTTGTGACCCAGTAGAAGTAAGCTCTCTTGGTTCTAAACATGTCACTTTTTCTTGTTGGTGAAAGAGGAGGTGTGAACATGTTGTGGTACGGTGACTGTCCTCGGTTACTGCCTCTTCCACTTTCATTGCCTTTTAAGTTATTGATTATATCCCTGACAATGCTGATCATTGGAGTAGCTCCAATTCCTAGACCCACGAGCAGAACAACCTCGAAATTCCTGTAGTCTTGTGCTGGTGCCCCGTATGGACCGTCGATTAGGATTCTTGGAAAGCTAAAGGAGGGATTAACAGTTCAAAGTTGAACCAGTTTAATAACTGATAAAAAGTTATACAATCATCCTATGCACTGAATATGGATAACTGATGTATAGATATCGATAAGACTTACTCAGGGATGTCATTCCAGTAGCTCGAGTCGGCTCTGTTCAGTCTGTTTTCATCAGGAGGGCGTGGCTTACACACCTAAGGATCAGATAGATACAAAGGGAAATTACATACTTGGACTCAATTAATCTCTTGTGTGTTATGTATAGGGGAAAAAAATGGAGTAAAGTACCTCAGAGAATAGTGATCTTAACTGCTTAGTCCAGTCTCCTAGTACCCTGATGTGAACACTGAGGTAATCATCTCCTGGAGCCGAGGTAATTGAGAATGGATGCCTGTTTATATGCAAACCACTGTTAGTTTTGTTTCCATATACAAATGTCTCAAGATAATATGATTGTGTGTTTTTTTTTTCTATTACCATTCTAATGAAGAAACTTCGGAACAGTTGATATACATGTATTGTCCGCTTTTGTATCTGAAATTGTTCGGTCTTGACATTTGAAGCGACAAGACATTCCCTGGTAACACAGCAACCTGTTGAAGAATTAAGGTAATGATAGAGATGAATATACAAAGTCTTTTTTTTGGATGTTTCGATAGAGAAGTGTTTACAGGTTCCACCTTTAGTATCGAAACAGCCTCAATGCCCGACCTGAGCGCACGAATCAGCCTTTCGAACAAGTAAAGAACCACCGGTACCATTATGTACATCCATGTCTATTAAATCACATGACGCAAACCAAAATCAGATTCCATATTGCATCTTGTATAACTTTGTATTGAGTCTTGTGGTTGATAAGTTACTAACCGTTTTCTTGGACCATGGCTTGATGAGGTAGACATAGTATCCATGAACAATGAGCAGGGAGTAGACGATAACAAACAAGTGGTGAGAGTACCAGAAGGCATTAAAGCCTGTTATTTTCTTCAATGGTCCAGGAAGCTTGAGCTTATTTTTTCTGAACCATGGTGTAGCCAATGTGAAGGCTATAGTCATTAGTATAATCATTCCAATCCCGGTAACTCCTTCCACCGACTTCAAAAAGTGTCGATAACTCTTTGGCTGTGGCCCAAAATACTGCACCATTGGCTTATACGTCTCTTCATCTGCAGCTATCAGCCGAGGGAAATCGCAGGCTAAATGTGATGTAGCATGG